CAAATTCCCCCAGTAAGAAAGCAGGAGTAGCTATCCTGATATCTGATAAAATAAACTTTTCATTAATATCAATACAAAAAGACAAGGAAGAATACTACATATTAATACAGGGAACAATCCAAGAGGAGGATATTATCATTATCAACTTATACTCCCCAAACATTGGAGTACCCAAATATGTTAAGCAAATACTCTCAAACTTACAGAATAAAATAGATCCGAATATGATAACACTAAGAGACTTTAACACTCCACTCTCACCAAAGGACAGGTTTACCAACCAGAGGATTGGCAAAGAAGCTACCAAATTAAGTGAGGCCATACTTCAAGCAGAACTAACTAACATCTACCGAGTATTTCACCCTAAAACAACACAGTACACATACTTCTCAGCAGCTCATGGAACTTTCTCCAAAAGTGACCATATCATAGTTCATGCAAAGAACTTAAGCAAATACAAGAGGATTGACATAATCCTCTGTATCCTATCGGACCACAGTGGAATCTAGTTCTCAATAACAAAGCATACCACAGAAATAACTAAAATACATGGAAATTGAACAGCACACTTCTAAGCAACACCTGGGTAACAGAAGAAATTAGAGAAGAAATTAAAAAGTGATTACAATTCAATGCAAATGAAGACACATCACAAAGAAACTTGTGGGACACAGCAAAAGCAGTCCTGAGGGGCAAGTTTATTGCCCTCAGGGCCCACATCAAGAAAATAAAGACAGACCAAGTAAATAATCTCATGCTGCAATTAAAACAGCTAGAAAAACATGAAAAAAAAATGGAACCTAAAGTTACTAGACAGAGCCAGATAAACAAATTAAGAGCGGGAATTAGAGAATAGGAAAATTATAAATAAATTAATAAAACAAAAACCTGGTTCTTTGAAAAAATAAATAAAATTGATAGACCTTGGCAACATTAATTAAGAAGAGAACTATCTTCAAAAGTTATACTCTCTAAAGAAAGAAAACCTAGCCGGGCCATGGTGGCTCACACCTGTAATCCTAGCGCTGGCTTTGAGCTGAAGAGTGCAGGGACAGCGCCCAAAGCCAGAGTTCAAGCCCCACGACCGACAAAAAATAAATAAATAAATAAATAAAAATAAAGAAAGAAAACCTAGCAGAAATGGATGCATTTTTAGAGAAATACAAGTTGCCCAAACTGAGCAAAGAAGTAAATCAATTAAATAAGCCAATACCTTACAACAAGATACAAGAAACAATAAGAAGGCTTCCAACAAGAAAAACCCAGGACCAGATGGATTCACAACAGAATTCTATAAGACCTTTAAAGAAGAACTAATACCCATATTCTTCAAGCTCTTCAGAGAAGCAGAGAAGGAGGAAGCTATCCCAAATCCATTCTACGATGCCAATATCACACTCATCCCCAAACCAGGCAAAGACCCAACCAAAAAAAGAAAACTATACAACAATCTTCTTGATGAACACAGATGCAAAGATCCTTAACAAAATTCTAGCTAACACAATCCAGAAACACATAAAAAAAATCATACACTACAACCAGATAGGCTTCATCCCAGAGATGCAGGGATGTTTCAACATACGTAAATCAATAAATGTAATCCAACACATCAACAGAGCCAAGGTCAAGAATCACATGATTATCCCCACTGATGCAATACAACATTCATTTATGTTAAAAGCTCTGGAGAAAATAGCAATAGAAGGAACATCCCTTAAAACAATAAAAACCATATATGACCGACAAATAGTCAACATTATACTTAATGGGGAAAAAACTACAACCAATTCTCCTAAAATCAGGAACAAGGCAAAGAAGCCCACTGTCTCCACTCCTCTTCAATATAGTCCTGGACCCCTTAGCCTGGGCAATAAGGTAAGAAAAAGACATTAAAAGGGATCCGCATAGGGAAAGAAGAAGTTAAACTATCCTTTTTTGCAGATGACATGATACTATACCTTCATGATCCCAAAAAATCCATCCCCAAACTCTTAGAAATCATAAATCACTTTGGCAAAGTGAGACTTCTATAATGAAGAAATAAAAATGGCAAAGAAACACATGAGGAAATGTTCATCATCCCCGGTGGTGAAGGAAATGCAAATAAAGACAACCCTGAGATACCACCTTACCCCAGTCAGAATGTCCCACATCCACAAATCAGCCAACGACAAATGCTGGAGGGGATGTGGAGAAAGAGGAACCCTATTACACTGCTGGTGGGAATGTCCACTTATACAACCACTTTGGAAAGCAGTCTGGAGGATCCTTAGAAAGCTAAAGATTGACCTCCCTTACGACCCAGTCATACCACTTCTAGGCATCTATCCTGAACAACAGGAACCAATATACAAGGACACGTGCACCTCCATGTTTATTGCAGCACTGTTCACAATAGCTAGGTATGGAAACAACCCAGATGCCCCACCACAGATGAATGGATCCAAAAATTGTGGTATCTATACACAATGGAATATTATGCCGCCATTAGAAATGACAAAATAATGGCATTTACAGAGAAATGGATGGAGCTAGAAGGAATCATGTTGAGCGAGGTAAGCCAAGAGCAAAGAGACAAACGGTACATGGTCTCCCTGATAAGTGGATGTTAAATCCAAAATGTTAGGTGATATGACAAAATTAACAGGACTTAAGAAACAAAGAACTTCTGCTCATCTGGTCGAACCACTACTAAATATCCCCATGCTGCTGATCACATGTATGGTGTATATGTGTACACCGTTATATGTTATAGACTGTGATAGACAATTTGCTCCAGGAAAGTTAGAATGAACTTGTGACTTTAAATGAGCATCATTATTCCACAATACTGTGAAATTCGGGAAATTATGTAATTACTTAATCACAATCAAAAAAAAAAAAACCTTGGGGAAGGCAGGGAGGGAAGGGATGGTGGGGGGAAAACAATGGAGGGGGTAACAATGTTCAATAGGAAGTATACTCATTACCTCACTCATGTAACTGTAACCCTCTGTATAGTATCTTTACAAAAAAAAAAAAGTTAGAATGTGTTTATGACTTTAACTAAGCATCACTATCCCACAATACTGTGAAATATGGGAAATTATGTAATCACTTAATCAAAATAAAGAATTTGAAAAAAAAAAAGGTTTTTGAAAAAATTTCCACTTCCTATAGTCACTTCCTGTGGTCGCTATAATGTATGATCCTAAACAGCAGTTAGAGCAGCATACTTGATTCATTCGAGTTCTAGAGTTCAGAAGTCTCAGATCCTACTCACTAGAAAATTCATCAAAATGTGCATAGGACACTGGAGAAGAGGCTTATGTTATACAACAATTTGTACAAGTGTATTAAGAATAATTTTTAAAAAGTAATTAAAAACACTCTTTGTATGTGTGTATGTGTGTGCACACATGCACACGCGTGCCAGTACTGGGGCTTGAACTCAGGCCCTTGCTCTGTGCTTAAGCTTTATTGCTCAAGGCTAGTACTCTAACACTTGAGCCACAGCTGCACTTCCAAATTTGTGCTTAATTAGAGATAAGAGTTTCATTGACTTTGTTGCCAAGGCTAGCTTCAAACCATAATCCTCAGATCTTAGCCTCCTGAGCAGCTAGGAGTACAAGTGTGAGCCAGCCACTGGCTAGAAAAAAGTCTTTTAGTAACAGTAATAACAATATACCCAGTCCAATCTAGCCTTGCCCATGTTCCCTTCAGTTGCTATCTTCAGTTAAGAGGCTAGTGGTCTACTGGGGATTCACCTCTGGCTCCTTTAGGTATTGAGACTCCCTCACTCTGAGAACATGAACCTTCAAGTTAAATTGTCTAACCAGCAGACATAAGCTGATACTGCCAATGACTTTGACTTACATAGGGTTATAGGTAACGCTTCTTTTTCATAGTTTTTTTTCCGTGCTAGAACTGGAGCTCAAAGCCAGGGCCTGGACATTGTCCTGAGCTTTATTGTTCCAGTCTAGCATTCTACCACTTGAGCCACAGCTCCACTTCCGGCTTTTTTTTTTTTGGGGGGGGGGGGGGGGTTGGGGACACTTAAATAGAGGTAAGACTCTCATGGACTTTCCTGCCCAGGCTGGCTTCTAACCTCAATACCCAGAAATCAGCCTCTGAGTAGCTAGGATTACAGGCGTGAGCTACCAGCACCCTGGCTCCTCTCATAGCTTTGATATGAACCTCATGTAGTAAGAGTTTCCCCTATTCTAAATCTCTTCTATGAAAGGATCTTTTACAATTTCTCTCCCAAACAGTTCTTCCTTGTGGTTTGGATATTTATTTATCCCATCATGCTTTAGGAAATGAGAAGAAATAAGTGTAAGGATTGGTCTTGCATCAGTTGTATTATTTCTTTTATGTAAGATATGGTATCAGGGGATGTCTGAAGCCATTCTGCACACTACTGCTACTCTACTTGGGCTCATTTGCTCCATTTGTTTATGTGTGCGTACCTGTGTGCTAGTACTGACTGGGCCTTGAACTCACTTGGTGCCAAATATATGCCTCAGGAAGAAGTTATAGCTTTCACCAGTGGAATATCTTATGTCACTGTAAATCAAATGCTTATAGGGTGGTCTGTGTTCCACCACTGCTGACCCAGGACCTTTTTTTTTTTTTTTTTCCAATCAGTCCTTGGGCTTGAACTCAGGGCCTGGGCACTAAGTGAGCTTCTTTCTTTGCTCAAGACTAGCACTCTACCACTTGAGCCACAATACCACTTCCGGCTTTTTCTGTTGATGTGGTACTGAGGAATTAAACCCAGGGCTTCATGCATACTAGGCAAGCACTCTACCAGTAAGCCACATTTCCAGCCCCTCCCCCTTCCCCTCCCCCCCCCCCCCACCCGCCCCAGGACCTTTTGACTGTTGGGAGGCCCAAAAGAGCAAGCATATTACCATATTTTAGAGATTTTGTCATTGTGCAACAGGAAGCTCTATAAGAATAGTTCATTAACACATAACCAGAAAAACATTAGGGTAACGTATGCAATTAAAAACAACTACCTGTGGTCTGGGGTGCATCTCCAGAGACTGATTGCATTGTTGAATGATGTTTTGTGAAACTGAGATCAAACAACTGTAGTCATACTTCCTGCTTCATTTCTTTATAATTTTCTCATGAAGTCTCCTGATTCCTATGAAGTGAGAATAAAGCAGCCCCTGCAGAAAGGGGATGGGTTATTTAAAGACCTGATCACTTTAACAGTGATTCTCTTACTTTGGTTAAATGACTAATTTGAAGAACGTAACATTAGCCTCAGATTCTGTCCTAATAAACTGTGCTCAAGAGAATAACCATGGGCTGGGAAGGTGGCTCAGTGGTAGAGCGCTTGCCTTGCATGCCTGAGGCCCTGGGTTCGATTCCTCAGCACCACACAAGCAAAAAGAAAAAAGCCGGAAGTGGCGCTGTGGCTCAAGTGGTAGAGCGCTAGCCTTGAGCTGAAGAGCTGAGGGACAGCGCCCAGGCCCAGAGTTCAGGCCCCACGACCGGACCCCCCAAAACAAAACAAAACAAAAAACGAACAAACAAAAAAGAGAATAATCATAACCCTAGTACTTAGGAGGTAAGAAGGCACAAGGACTGAGTTCAAGACCAGCCTGGGCTACATAGCAAGATCTTGTCTCAAAAAGTAATCTAAGGATCACTTTTCCACGCCAGTCCAGGCAGGAAAGTCCATGAAACTCTGATCTCCAATTAACCAGACACACACACACACACACACACGCACGCACGCACGCACGCACGCACGCACGCACGCACGCACGCATGCCAGAAGTGGAGTTGTGGCTCACTCTACTAGAGTGCCAGAAACAGTGCCCAAGCCCTGAGTTAAAGACACACATTCAAAAAACAAAACAAAAACAAAAAACAACAAAAAAAGGGTTTGTGACATTAGAGGTCTCACTCTTCTATGCTTTCTCTCCCACGTCCTGAGGATTATCTCTTTCATTCCTAGCTCTTTTTACCAATAGTCAAGAAAAATTCTACAATTATGAGCCACGAAGTTGGCTGTATCCTGACCCTAGACTGGCATTTAAATAATGATTTTGTTATACATCTACTCATAAGTTCATATTAGATATTTTGTCTACTTCATCCTAAAGCCTGAATTAGATAATAGTACTTTGTTGGCCACCCAAGATCCTCAGATCTCAGTCTTCTGAATAGCTAGGATTACTGGCATGAGCTACTAGTGCCTAGCTTTTTCCTGAGTTCTTAATCTACTTTCAAATTTGTTTCTAGCTTGATAATTACATACCATAAGCTCTCCTCTTAATTGTCCCTCTGGAGCCGTTAGGCCTGGATATTCCTTAATGACTTCATATCCATCTTATAGATTTTCAGTTCCAGCAGCTCTATCTCCATAATTCTATGCCTGTTCATTTTCTTTTCCATTAACCATCCATGAAATTACAATTTTTTTTGTTTTTGTTTTTTTTAGAGTTTGAGTTATGGGACTTGAACTCTAGGCCTGAGCGCTGTCTCTGAGCCTCTTTGTGTGTGCTCAAGGCTAGCACTCTACCACTTGAGCTACAGTACCACTTCTGGCTTTTTCTGAATAGTTTATTGGAGATAAGAGTCTCACCGGCTTTCCTGCATGGGCTAGCTTCCAATTGCAATCCTCAGATCTCAGTCTCCTGCGTAGCTAGGGTTACAGGCATGAGCTACTGGTGACCAGATGCACTTACATATCTTCACCACATTTGCCAAGTTATATTCCTTACTCACATCCCCTTTTCTATGCTCATTTAAGGCTAATCCTGAGCCTATGTCCTACCAAGACATAGGTTTCATCCTCCAACTCCCACATGCATCACCCCAAATTTTATTCTATCTAATACCATCTCATTTCTACATCTACAATGACTTCCTTCTCATTTTCTCCTGCTTTATGGTCTGCAAACATTCTCAATTTTCTCTCTTATTAAAAGGCTGATTATATGACTCACTGTAGGGCCCTGAATGAGGGGATTTAACATGCATTCTGATAGTCATATCAACTAACAGGCTTCTCATGGAACAATAATGATTAAGCACATTCGATTTTAAAAAAGGAATTATAAGCCTGGTAAGCAGTAAACAGGAAAAAGTATAAGCCTACCTATCAGTGCAGATGAGGGAATAAGTAAAGCAATGTTGAAAAATGTTAAATTGTGAATACCAACCCCAGGAGCAAACCACAGAATGTAGGGATGAGGCCTGGGCTCAGACAATGATGGCTCTGGTCCAACCTAGGGAGCAACTGGCAGCAATAACAGTAGCAGCAGCAGCAGAAGCAGCTATGAAATATCTGCAAGTAGCCGCGAGTAAAATGTAGGCCTAAGCAAAATGCAATATTTTACAGAAAACATCAGCAATATAACATATACGGGAGACTGGGGTGGCCACTCCCTCCTATCCCATCCTCAATAACATTACTTTATCAGTTATAATCCCTTTTTTCTGATTGGTCGTGGGGCTTGAACTCTGGGCCTGGGCACTGTCCCTGAGCTCTTCAGCTTGAGGCTAGTGCTCTACTATTGAGCCACAGTGTCACTTTTGGTTTTCTGGTGGTTAATTGGAGATAAGAGTCTCATGGACTTTCCTGCTCAGGCTGGCTTTGAAGCGTGATCCTTAGATCTCAACCTCCTACTTAGCCAGGATTACAGGAGCGAGCCACCAGCACCTGGCTATAATCTTTTTGTTCACAGTCACAAGGCCTGGCTTCGGAATTTTTTGGAAAACACAATCAAAGCAGGCATTATCAATCAACTGGAGATGGTAGTTGGATGATAGTTGGATGGTTAGTTGAAGGAATTAGCTATCATGGCACTACACACAAAGTCATCTGTACAAGAATTAGAAGACAGGAGTAAACTTCAGAAGTAACCATTTTGAGGAGAACTTGACTGTTGTAGGCCACCTGGTACGGACAAGCTGGGCCCATAGAGGTCACAGAGCAGGCACCCAATGAATGTCTGTTGATAATTCATTTTTTCATTCAACAAACATTTAATGAGGCCTACAATGTGCACCAGATTAGGCATTGCGAATACAAAGATGAATAAGGCACTGTCCTGCCCTTAAGGAATTTAGTCTGCTTGATGAGAGCCATAGACTCGGACAGTGATAATACAACCTGCTAAGTGCTAGGACACTTAGCAGGTTGTATTATATCCATCCGAGATGGATTTCTTCAAAGGAGCACCACTTCAAGTTGCTGCTGGATCCGTGAAGTTCTCCCAGGCACCACAGCCTGCTGTTGATTTCTGTCACGCGGTGAATGTCCCAAAGAACTAACAATAACAGCTGTAGTTGACACAGTACCTACGAAACACTTTACAAATATCTTCCTGGAAACCCTGAAAATTAATCAGTATATGATGAGATTCAGGTTTAGTGTGGTTCAGTAACATGTTAGATAACATAGCTCAAAAGCTTTCATGACAAACACAAACTAAAGGAATTCATGAACACTAAACAAAGGAAACAAAAGGGAAGCATACAATCTGAAGAGAACAAACAAAGTCAAGGAAACACAGCATTGAATAAAAATCACTAAGAAACTAGTTTAGTAAACACATGAAGAGGAAAGAAGCACACTATAGGAAAACAACAAAATGTCAAGCAACATGACATTTCTCTGTAGTAATGTTAAACATCAATGGACTCAACTCCCCTACCAAAGGAAAAAAGCAGCAGAATGGATCACAAAACAAAATCCAACCATTTGTTGTCTCCTAGATAACATAACTAGTAAGCAGGAAGAATTTAAGTTTCAAATCCAATTCTGACTAATTCCCAAACGTTTTGTTTGAAGTTTTTAATATAATCTTTTTCCTGGTATAATAACTTTTTAACAGCTTTCTATCTGGAACAAAGAACAAAGTCAATACATTATTGATTATAAACTAGAGGCTTCCTCTGGTTTCTTATACTATCTAGGAAAGACAAAAGGGTTTTTTGTTTTTTTTTTGGGGGGGGGGGGGGGCTTTGAACTCAGAACCAGGGCACTGTGCCTGAGCTTCTTTTGCTCAAGGCTAGCACTTTACCACATGAGCCACAGCACCACTTGTGGCTTTTTCTGTGTATGTGTTACTGAGGAATCGAACCCAGCCAGGGCTTCATGCATGCTAGGCAAGCACTCTACCACTAAGTCACATTCCCAGCCCCAGGGGAAAAAAATTAAGTGATTTCATACTAGTGTTCTTTTTAACAGTCAGTTTAACTTTCTTTTTTTTTCTTTTTGACAGTCTTGGGCCTTGAATTCAGGGCCTGGGCTCTGTCTCTGAGCCTCACTATGCTCAAGGTTAGAGCTCTACCATGTGAGCCACATAGCACCACTTTCGGCTTTTTCTGTTTATGTGGTACTGTGTTTCATGCATGCTAGGCAAGAACTCTACCTACCACTAAGCCACATTCCCAGCCCCGATTTTCTCAATCTTAATATCACCAGTGACCATTCAAAATATTAAGTATTTGGCAGGGCACCGGTGGCTCAATCCTATAAACCTAGCTACTCAGGAGGCTGAGATCTGAAGATCTTGGTTTGAAGCCAGCTCAGATAGAAAAGTTCCCTTGAGACTCTTATCTCCAATTATCCACTCAAAAACCAGAAGTGGCACTGTGGCTCAAGGTGGTAGAGTGCTAGCCTTGAGCACAAACAGGCTCAGGTACAAAGCCCAGGCCCTGGAATACCAGGCCTGTTCTAATTAATTGACATAGAAAATCTCATTAAATCCTTCACATTTCAAACCACCACCCTATCATTAAAAGCCAGTATTTCCTAGTTTATATAAGAGGAAACGAAGTCCAAGATTTTTGTGCTCAAGACCACATGGGCATGAGACCAAGTGTAGGCATAGACTAACATGCCAGTTTTGCTAACTGTTCTTCCTGATAAAACCCTTCAAGATGGCAGATTGCATAAGGCCCTCTAAATCACTCTGTTCTACTTAAATATAATCATTCTTATCATAGAAACCCATTCTCTGAGTCCCAAAGATCAACACTGTGAGCCTTAGGTGAAAAATTGTGCATACGTTGCTTTTGTCTTTGTTTTTCTTGGTTGTTGTTTTGGAATCAGGTCTAACAATATGACCCCAAAGTCCTCAAATTCATGATTCTTTTACTTCAGCCTTCCAAGTGCTGGGACTATAGGCCCACATCACAACACCTG